GAGCTATTAACCCTTTGTCGCACTGGGTATTCAATGAACTGACCACTTCAGTGGATACTTATGATCTTGGCTTTGGAGACCTGGTGCCAGAACTGTGGTGCACTGAAATTAAATCTTGATCGATGGGTCCGGATTTCGATATCTACTCTTGATCGCCGTGTCGTTTTCCACAGACCAGAAACGTTCTTCTCCTTTAATGTAGAACAGAGTTACTAATGTCTCTAGCATGTAGGTGGGACAGTTTCCGAAGATGAACTAATCTACCATTCCGACCAAAGGAGTAGCAATACCCCTTATGGCTCCAACTTCTGGAATTCGAGGATACCCTCCAAAATAAATGAACCTCAGTATTTGGGAGACTCACCCTCTGGTTCTCACCTATCAGTTTTTTTTTTCTTGTTGATCTTTAGAAGTTCTTTGGAAACTTAGTTGAAGATATCCCTACTAAAACTCACCTGCCAATTCCAGTAAAGGCGCGACTTATTCAGTTTCTGCCTCTTGGACTAATATCTGCCGCATGTATGAGAGTTGAACTATACGGAGAAAAGTCTACCACAGAAAACACAGGTAAACCGTCTTCAAAATAAAGATTGTTTCTAAAAGTTTACTTTTCTTCTGAGACTTCTTCCTGCAGTTACTTTTTCTTTGATCCCTTTTTTGCCTCGAGTTTTGCGGATGATGTCTTTCACCGCTACTCATTGCCTGTCTCTATCTTCGGATCCTTTAATATCATTTGCCTCTCTTCTTATATCGCCCCTTGATTTATTTGTACCTCTGCCTCTGAGGATCAATTTGTCACTGATTATATAGAAGGACATTAAAACTTTCTCACTTCACCGAAAAAGGAAAATATACATATATGGAAAAAAAAATTCAAAAGAACCCTTTTTTCTCAGTTCAATTATGCTACATCTTTTTGCAGGAAAACCACCAGTATATCAACGAAGTATTCTTTTAGATGAGAGAAGTAAAAGGCTTTTCTTGTGTAATAAAGAATCAGTTAGGTACGTAAGTAGTACACGGAATTTCCTTTCTCAAAATCGTAAGTCCTATCTGTTTGGAATTGCGATACGAAATGTACCCCATATAATCTCTAAAAGACAGTTTTAGGATGATGAACTCGATTTCGTGTCCCTTTCAAGAAATATACCAATCCCTTTAGTAATTAATATTTGCGATTGCGATATTTGCCATTGTGCCACTTGCTGCTAGATAGTGACAATTATCCGTAGAAGGTGATGGTGAAATATTATGAAAAATTATGGCAGTGTGAACAGTTGATCTTGTCTGACCTAAGTTACCATCTCTGCAAGCTGTGTAAATCGAAATAAAAACTTGATTACAAAAACTTGACCATCTCAAACATTTAAGCCACAAATAATGTGATGCAACCGATTTAAGGTTAATGTTACTACATTTACGAAGTCGGTGACTGACTTTTTCTTTTTCCTTGCGACAAGTCTTTTTGATGATTCTCTTGTTAGGAAAGCCTGGATAGCTCTGGTGAAATTTATCATGATTATTATCCATGTATACTCCTAATGCGTTTGGGTCCAATCTTTTATGCTCAATGCGTTTTATTTTTTCATATTTTCGTAAATCGAGAGTAAACTGTTAGAAATACCCTCTCGATCCGAATGCCAGTAATAAAAGGCTTCAAAAGCTTTATTCCTAAATTCACCTGATTAATTCGCTCCTTATGCTCACACAGGGGGAAGGCGGTATGTTTCATCAGAATATATTTAGAGGACGAAAGTTGGATAGGTAAACTGACGTTACTATTCCTTAATCCCTCCCTTGCAATGGTAAAACAACTTCCCTCTCTTTAGTCCTCCTTCATGCCCTCTTTACTCTTTCGTTCCTCCTTTTCTGCTGTGCCAAGTGGGAGGCATTCACCGTCCTCCTCCACCTCTCTTCATCTTGTTCTTGATATATATTCCGCTGACCTATCCCAATCGTCAGTTTTGTTTGTTGGTTGTATTTTGTTTGTTTCTTTTTTCGTTTGTTCGTTTTTTCTTTTGTTCGTTAGTTCTTTCGTTCGTTCGTTTTTTCGTTTGTTCGTTTTTAATCGTTTATAACTATTTTGTTTGGCTTTCATTTCCCTTTCGGGTTGTCTTACGCATTAAAGAGGCTTGTCTATCCATTTCAGTTCCTTTTTTCTTTTTTTGAGTCAGCATAATTTCTCTGTACCTTCCTGCCAGTGTCTTCATTGATAGTGATACTTAGTCATTTCACCCCAGGAACAAACCTTCAGCAGCGATTCACCAAGGCTGGGACTATATATTTATCCAGGTCTTCTTTTTCCACATATGTGGTAAATTACTTGCGACGTTCAGGATAATAAAATGTTCAATAAAAGACATAAGATCGGAAAAGTTAATCTATTTTATCCATTCACAGAGGTTATACCAATCGCAAGCTCGCTCCCAGACCAGTTCGCACCTATCGAAGTGAGTTCTCCCTCACTTTTACCCCCCAGTTCACGGTGAATGTGATTGATTTGTTTCAGCCCTAGACAGACGCATTGTCAGCATTCTTGGTTATGATCAAAACGAAGACGTCATATATGGCGTGGCCAGGAATAGAAGATCATACCTACGATGTAACGTCACTAAATGTGCGGCCGTTCCAAGTGAAGACTGGTTAAGGTTGAGGGATTTGCCAACCACAGTCCTATCCACAGAGATACCTTTTGTTCCAGAAACAGGCCGTGATTTTACTGACACTCAAATTTCTGAATACGAACAGATTGATAACGATGGCAACAAATGGGGAGGTATTTGCAACTTTTCATTATTATCCTGGGAGCGTTTTAATACTTAGGACCATAAAAAAAACCTTTATTTTATCTCCATTGCAATTAATGAGGCACACCTTGTGCCAGTATGGTGGTTCACGGTTGCAAATGATTTCAGATGTATTCTTCTTTCGGAATCTCTCTAAATCAGGGCAACTGTCCATAACGTTGTTTTGCCGTCCACCAGTCAGGACCCATGAAAATATTAGGGGGGGAGAGAGAGGTTAGTGGGTAGGGAGGTCTCCCTTTTCACAACGAATTTGGTAGTTTTTCTTTGTGCATCTTTTTCGACTGTCCAGACGTCGAGAGGAGGTGTCAGCTATCCAAGAAGAAAGAAAGGGACTTCTGATTAGTCTCTGCCGGTTTATATTTGTCAATCAGGATCTATCAATCTTCGTTAAACTGACGATGCTCCAACTTGATTCTAATCGTTGATTGTCCCTTTTCTTACAATTTATATCTTAAAGCTTCAGCGGTGGGTATTCATTTCTTCAAAGTGGAAAAACAAACATGGCAGTTGATAGCTCATTGGCGGGCGAGGGGTAAGAGGCTTTTTTATTTTATTTTCTCTTTTTCTTTTTTTTTTGTATCATGATTTTTCCTGTTTTAAATCGAGAAAATAATGCAAACAAATTTAGAGTTGCTTAAATGATAAAGAGAAATATCAGAAATAAAGGACAAATGTGAGAAGATAATTTGAGATCGAAAGATAGGTTACACCACATCCCCGACTAATTTTTACCAAATTCAAATATACTGTTTAAAAAACAATGACTGATTAAAAAGATAAAAAAATTAGAAACTTATTATATACTCTGTCTGAAGACATGAGAGCGGCCTGCTGTTTCAAATGTATGGGCTGCGTTTTGTTCCCTTTTTTTATTGCAATAGTTGACCCTTTGATTTTACAGATCTAAACAAATGTTACAGTGGACCGTGTGAAAATGGCGGTTCTTGTGTTGGGAACAAAAATGACTACACTTGCTTCTGCCTCAGCGATTGGGCTGGGAAAAACTGTGACACCAAGTGTGAGTGCCATTTTGAATATTGTTACCACGATCAACAATGAGCATGTTTTAAATTGCATCTCATTTATTCGATATTGATTTACCATCCCTTCATCCATCTATACATCCATACCTGCCTATGACTGGCTTGCTAACCTTTTGCCTTTCTCTTTGTTTGTTCATTACATGTTCCAGCATTAATCCTTGCTTTCCTCGTCCATTCACACGTCCTTAAATATATTTTGTTCTGTTCCTAGCTAACTCGATTCACTCTTACACACGCCAAACGGTGGCGTCATTTCAGTTCAAATACAGTTTCCACCTTTTACCAATTCAAGTGTAAACAGTTTTACTTAACTTTAACCCATGCATTTTTTCTGTGTAGTCGTTGCTCCCCAAATTGAGGTGACGAAGTCCACGTGCAGTTCAACTACAAACAAAGTGAAACCACTAAGAATAAACACCCCAAAGTATCCCAATAACTATGGCAGTAATAGTCGCTGTGAATGGCTTATTACTTCATCACATCGGATCAAACTGGTTTTTAAATACTTTTACGTGGAGAGGGGTTGGGATTATGTTTATATCCACGACGGAAAATCCACCAGTTCCAGACGGATTGGCAGGTTCACTGGAGGTCATACCAACAAAGTCATCAAAAGTTCTGGAAATTACCTTTATCTAAAGTTTACGTCTGATTCAGTAGTCAATAAAAAAGGATTCTTAATAGTCTACGAAGGTAAGTCAGTTATCTCTTTGATACTGTTACTATTATAAGAATACTTCGTATTGGTAAATACTGCAATTTCCTTGCATTGCGTCAAATCTCTGTCCGTGTGTCTCTCTTCTCGTCTTTCTTTTGTTTTTTTTGGTCCAAATCCGTGACCCTTTTTTTTCAAATCCGTGATACAATATTATTTTTATCTTGCAGCCATAATTTAAAAAAGCCTTAAGAAGACACTGCTGCCTTGTCGAGGAAATGGGGGAGATAGAGGCCGACACTATCGCTCACTAAACACTCAACCAGGAGATTCTAACAGACAACTGAGATTGCATTTGCCCTAGCCTCAAAACAATAAATAAAAAATGGGAAGGATCGAGAGATTTATCCTGGACTCCATTTTACCCGATTCAATTTTCACTTTATACTGACACACAGTTACTTTTTGCTCAATAAGTTTTATTTCCTCCATTTTCTAAGTCATTTTCATGTACAAAGTTTCCACCCCGTCAGTTTGTATGCTAATTTAAAAGGGAATATTAGATCGATATTAAGCTTCCTACCCACTTATTGGGAAACACATTTTTGTGCGATATACTTGATAAATACGTGGATCATCCTAAAGTCACGACTACAAGGCTCTCCTTCTCTTTCTCAGCTCAGTTCATGCACCACAGCAACGTAAAGACTTGTTGTTTATAATCAAATTTAACTATCAATTAAACGTGGAGCATATTTGCCATTTTCTAGCTTGGTTGGTGATTTCTTTGCATTTACAAGAAGCAGAACAAAATGGAAAGCTTGAGCCTAAGTATTTAATGCCATCTGCATAACAGTACACCTGGTAGTCCAAATTGGACGGAAATGAAGTTATTATATCAAAGAAACATTATTTTATACATAAGGTGAATCTATAAAATATTATAAAAGACATAGTCCTTAATAAGGGGTTTGCATTCTAGATAGTTCATTATGGAATCATCCTGCAAATGAGTTTTCCTATTCAATTTGTGTTTCACTTATACATATTGCTAATTCTCTAAAGACAAGGATAACTTTCTATCCACTGTGGACTGTTTCTTATGTAATATTTTAATGTTATAAACCCGAGAAACTCGTGTCATCATCAGGGAATGATAGAGGAACACTCTACGCTGGCGTCTCCGGAATGATCGCAATTATGATTTCCCCATCCACCATGGCTGCACTCGTCGAAATGCAGTTCATTCCCTGTGCAGTCCAAATCATCAATCCATATCTGACCAGATCCTTGACCATGGGTGGCGCTGCCAAAGGCTTGAGTGGCTGAGGGGAAACCAAGCTGTCTGCAGATCACGTGAGCGTCGTTGATGTCCCAGCCTTTGTCACAAATTGTTCCCCATTGACCGACAGCAAAAACTTCCACTCTCCCAGTTAATGACGTGTTACCGATAAGACGGATTTTGTCAACAACTGTATCAAATCGAAAAAAAAAATCTTAGGAAGAAATTGAAAATGCAGGGCACACTAAATCCAGCAAAAATCGATAGGATATCTTTTGAAAGATTTGCGCGGTGACTTGTAAGTTCAACTATGGTCTCTTTAAATGGTCATTAAATGGTCCTTGAAACGAAGAGAGCGGATTCAGATAGGCGCGATAATTTATCAAAAATGGGAACTAAGTAAAGTAAACAAGCGTTAAAAAAATACTTAAGTAGTTAGCTGCAACTCTGGTTTATAGAGGGTACATGTTAATGCCAGTCATAATTGGTTTCTTCTAGCCCGTAACTACACCTTCTCACGTGATTTCGTAAGTTGTTTTGTCATAAAGTAGCGTTTTTTATCTCAAAAATCTCGCTTACCACGGTAACTTGCCGCAAATCCTGGGCGTGTGATGCTGGAGTCAGTTTTAAAATCAATGAAGAGTTGGTTCAATGAACTTGTAACTACGGGAGGTAGAGAGGTTCCATGATATCGCCCAATCATTGGAGATGATGCAGATTTGCCATCGTATACGTATACGTAGTCGTACGATTGCTCAAGGTTGAATTTGAAGAATGTAAGCATGACGTTGGTGTTTGAAAGGAGACTCCAATTACAATACATATAGTTAGAGTAGTACTGAGCTTTGTTTGAATATAGTATGCCACTTGAGCCAGTAAGAATAGTCGAAGAGTTGGCGCATGAACTTGAAACAATCACAAATAACTGTACGTGAACTGTTGGGAGAAATGATTAAACAACACATTGTTAATGACCGAGACAGACAACCGAATTATCGAATGGGGATAAATAAGAAATGTGTTGTTGCAAATTATCTTCACCCTTCCTCTGTAAATTCTCCATAATAGCAATTGCTGCATACGCATGCCATGAACAGCGATATGTACTTCAATTCTTCAATTTGTGACTTTGATTCTCACGAAAAAGTCAAGTTTTCTACTAATAAACAAATTCTTCGAATGAACGACTTTACAAATTGAAATCAGTCAGGCCAAGGGGTCCTCGGGGACCAAGGGGACCAAGGAAGTCCGTTGTGGCGCATTTTCAGTTTGCCGAAAGGATCGTTTGTTTCCCTCTATCGAGCGTGGTGAGAAATTCGTAATTGATCTGCTTAAAGCTGGGCATTTATGCGCCCCTCGCTCTCTTGTAAGATATTTAGCTTTCAACAATTTTGGTCCATTAGTCTAGTTTGGAGGTAAAGCTTCTGAAAAAGTTGAAAAATTCACCTCACACTGACCTTATACATGAACTTCGATTCAAAACAATGTCCAAGACTTTTTATTTTTTCTTCTTGTTGAGAAGTGGTTTCAATGGAACTGCCGAATCTTCACTAAAGCTGAGTACACTTGTTTTCGTTGCGCGATTTTGTTTTAATTCATGGACTTTTCCAGAGCTCTATATTGCGTCTTATTTTCGTGAGAAGAAAATTTCGTGTCCATGAGCGGAAACAAGATTTTCTGTTTATTCTTGAGATATTTCTCAACCAAATTCCATTGAGAGCACAGGGTGCAAAATCACATGCACGTGAACTCAGATAAGAAAAAATTCAAAATCAATATCAAACAATAAACAACCCATAAATGGCTCGTCTACAGCGTGTGATGAAGATGTCATGTCTTTGAAACAGTGCACTTCTTTCAATTATATCTATGCCTATTATCTGTACAATAAACACGATTATCTTGGCGCTTTGGTGTCGCTTTTAGTTTTGAAACATTTTGAAAAAGTGAAAGGTGACTACTTCCGTGTCAACACAGCCTCGTCTAAACACTCGCGGGGTTTGAAAGTTCTCGAAAGATGTGGAAATTTGCAAAGAATCTGTTTGCGACTAATACTAATCCGCCGAGGTACAACCTGAGTACGTCTAACCTTTGTTCTACTTGTCACAATAAGCCAAAACAGGTATCTCAGGTTTGATGAAATCCAGCCAGTATTTGCCGCTGACCGCTCTTCCCTCTTCACTCTTATCAATTTCCTTAGACGATTTTGCGGGAAGATCAGGTAGAGAACCGAGAGAGACTGTTGCAGAAAAAAAGCAATTTTAAAAGACGGAAAAATACAACGAAAGACGTTGATGATTAAACAAATGAAAAAGTAAATCTTTTTAGAACGAACCTGAATGAAATAAGTCTAAAATGGAACAAAAACAAATATTTTACTCACCTCTGTTCTTGTCTCGCCTGAAATAGTACCTCTCAGCGTTTGATGTAAAATCTTCAGGTCTGGCTTCTTTTGTGCGGTTGCTCAACTCACACATATTTTGGGTAAAGACGTAATTAAAGCTTTGGCATCTGATGTCACGATAACATTCCCTTAAACACACATCACCGAATGCAGCTCCAGTGATCGTCTTAAAGATGTGCTTTTGTAGCATCATCCCGAAGATGGACGCCTCTCTTTCTTCTCTACAATTCCCAGTACATAGTTCAAGAAAGAACTCAATCAAACCAAGAATGATTAGGATGCGGTAGAACCGCTCGAAATTCATATCGGCCCGCTTCTCCAACCAAGAAATGTATGTCAGGGAAACCGATCTTCTGATGTTAAAATATGAGTTTGAGACGGAATATCAAGCAGTACATGAAATTTTAAACACTTCCATATAATGATATAATGGTCTCCAGTGAAGCCTTAAGCCATTGTAAGAACTGAAAACGAGTTCGGTTTCCGAGCTTTCCCCGATGCTCGGTGTGATGCATTATGCTATGGATCAGTGAACACCAGGAAAATAATTTTGAATTAATTTTTGTAGCAGCTTAAGGCTTCACAAGAAACAATTGTAAGGATCATTTCAAATTAAACTTAACGACAACAGGAAACAGTTCCCCCTGGTAGGGATTTCCCTATTTCTTTATTTGACAATAATGAGATGCGTTGAAAACAGGTGACTTTATAAATAATCGAAAATTAAACATTTCTGACGATCATAAAAACCAATATGTTGAAATGTAAGGTTATAAAGTCCTTGGCACCTAGTACTTTAACAAATATTTTGAGATGCGGTCGATCGCCTAATTTATCTCATGTCAGACTTGGATAAATTTCTTATGAGACTGGTTTGCACGTAGGTAACAGTAATTAACCGATACCTTATCCACAATGGAATAGCAGAAATAGTTGCGCAATTCCTGCTCGATCATCATTCGTTTTTATTTACTTATCTTATTTTGTATCTAGCCTATCACAATTTTTAACGAATGTGCTTCTTAAAGTAGACCAAAGGAAAGCTATTTTGAAACATATTCGAAAATGGTCTAAAATGTAGACTCACACCTTCCTGTAACGTTAGACCAAACAATAATATATTTACATAATTTAAAATTAAGCTTCGTCTTATCAATTAAATTTTTTCTCATCAAATAGCTTATACAGAAAGTTTGTTTTAGTTAAAATGTGAGTACAAAGGAAATGTTTGCAATCTATTATTGCTACCAAACGATGAGTAATTAAAAATAACACAATAACACTTAACAGTTTCTCAGGTAAACAGCATACATTGTTGACGTTAGGTTAAAGGAAGAAAAAAATTAAATAAGGAAACAAATAAAAAAGGAAAAAGATTAACAAAAACAATATCTAGTCGGATTTCATTGATCGTTGTAAAGTGATGCGGCGTTTTACATGGTAAACTTCCCAACAAAACTTTTGACGAGTTGAGGAGTATACTTGTTTTCTATACAATATCAAAGAAGCGTTTGAATAATTTTTCGTCGCGATGTCACGAGAGGTGATCTAGAATTAAAACAATGAAAATTTTTGTTTCACATTGCATGTTGCATGTAGAATTAAAACAATGAAAATTTTTGTTTCACATTGCGTGTTGTCAATGTACCGTTTTAAGACCTGGAATTAAGATTCGTCCTTCCAGATGATTTAGTCTAAATTTGCCAGACGGTACATAGATGTGCAAAGGTGACGCAGCATAATATTTCACTGAAAAATATATGCATTTAAAGGGGCGCATATAACGCCATTTTAGCTCAAAAACTTCTTGTTAATGGCATCATGCAATTATGGAGTCTTTTAAAATATTGTTAACAATGACACTTCTGTTAAGTCTGAAACTAGATATAGCTATATCTTAGTAGCAACTAATCTGGGAATAAAGCAGCTGTGGAACAGACAGTCTCTAGCCTATATCAGTTCTCGTTTTCTGCTGGGCAAAAATAAGCATTCTAAACGGGTTGATTGAAAAAAGAAGAACAACAATGAGCAATTAAATGAGGATAAGAGGGATGGGCTGTAAGCAGATTTTGTAAGTCGACACCAGGTCAAATCGTTGCACCTGTGTTTATCTCGCTTGTTGTTTTCGCCTTTATTTTTCCGTGCGGATGAGGATCGTAACATTACGGAATTATTACGGATATTGTAGCAATTTTCAAGGTTACGGACGAGGGCACTTGCTTGTTTGTAAGGATTTCTCGTACGGCATTGTATTCGAACAATGTGGTGAGTGTAGTCTATCGGACCGCGTTTTAAACCGCTCTGGCTCATACACTTCACAATTCGGCTAAGTTTCGAAAAATTCGTTGAGCTGTTGGCAGTAGCAAAATGTTTTTTTTTGGAAATTTATCAGTCCACTCACACTCACACGGAGTGATGTTGGAGGGCGGGAGGATTGGGTAGGAATGGGGTCAGGGGAGGGGCCCTATTGTTTGGAGGAGCCCTATTGTATGTTAACATGTTAAATAGATTTTACCATTTTACCATTTCTAGGCCTACCAATATCGTAAGGATTCGTAAAAAGGTCCATTGAACCAAGTGCAGTATACTATGAAAAAGCAAACCAGGCCAAATACAAGGCTAAAAATATCCTAATGATCGATGAGCACTGCTACATATCAACACACAAACGCCATGTAAGATTTACAACAACACATTTTAATGCCATATTTTTATTTAAATTTCATACCCAACAAACTTTATTTCACAACCGGGTATATCAAGAACGAAAAAGATGCACTCCGGGCAATCTGAAATACGCTTTGGGGTATTCCAGCGGATTTTTTTGTAGAAAGGCTTCGAAATTCCCATTTGAAACCCCATATCTCATTCCTTATAATAGTCCTCATTATTTACGAACCTCATGATCCTGTAATTACGCATGTCCTATAGATATATTACACCCACATCAATATGTATTTAATGAACGTGTAAAGAGACAGCTACACAATGAAAGACCACTAGGTTTCTTACTTAGAATTATAGAAAATTGAATGGTAAGAAACCACACCATTCATCTATTTACATTCTGTTGGAAATACATAGACTGGATGCAAAACCGAAAATTGAAATACCAAATACCATTGGGAAGATTAAAATGATGTATTTTGAACAATTATAGGAAACCAATAATGAACCATTTACATGTTCATTGAATTTGCTACAAATACATAAAATCAATCGCAAACCCAAAGCTAATGTTGAAGTAAGAGGTCTGAGAACACATCTCCAAAATAAGGTATCATTACCAATCTTCTTTATCTCAGGAGTCTGTCTTATATCTACAGAATCCTTTCAGAAGGTCTTGTTGTTCAGTTTACTTCCAATATTGCAGCTGCCGCCAATATAAAAACATTTTTTGTTCCTTTTTCGGTGTATTGTCACTGTTAGCTAATCTGTGCTGCAATATCGCAGAGTGCAAACTGGTGCTGGGGGAAGTTTGTAAACAAAATAAGATCCACAGTTCCTCACTTCAATGTTGATGTTCCAGTTACAGCAGTTTCAATTCCAGTTAAAGCAGACCTGTCTCGTAACTTTTCCGTCAGCTGTAGTAGGGTGAACTCCGTTTAGCCAACCAGTTGAGCATGCGTCGCACCTGTTCGTAGGTGGGCATGTGGTAGGCATACGCGTACCTGCAGCATCCTTGAAACGATACCAACCAGTGAGGGAGCTATCACACGTGTAGCACCCCCTTGTATTTGAGGTTTTTCTGTCGCTTGTGCTCAGAGATTGGTAATTCTCGCATTCTGATAAGTTAATTGCAAGGGTATATTTGTACGCAATTTTCTATTATAGCATGGTTTTTGGTCAATATAACGCGCGCTCTGATTGGCTAATAGCGAGATCAAAGCAGGGCATTACACTCCCTGACAATAAACCGATTAAAGTGTCTATACGGCCAACAGGGGTTTTATTGTTTTGGTATCTCTTTAACCTGTAAAAAAGTAAAAAAAAAAAATTGATTCTGACGCCTCTTCACCCTAAAATCGAGCTTTAAAGTTCCCGCTTCGGCCACGCCCAATGGAGTTGACCGCGTAAGGGAAGATTGGGGATGAGTGACGTCACTCCAGGAGCGTTTCGAAGCGTCGTGTTGTTACTTTGCTTGACAAACGCATTACTTTTACAACACATCTATCGGGCATATTTATGTCGCCGAAAACTCTTTACCTTACTGAAAAAAACAGTGAAATGAACCACTGGCGGGATTTGGCGCGTTCCTGACTTGACGTCACGACCCATTCTGAACCCAATCTCTTTTTTTCCCCGACTCACGGTCACCTTCAATAGGCGTCACCAAAGCGGGAAGTTTAAAGCTCGATTTCAAGGCGAAGACTCGTCAGAATCCAATTTTTATTTAACAATACTTTTTACATGTTAAATACATACCAAAACTATAAAAATCCTGTTGGCCGTATAGAAAATTTAATGGTTAAAATACAAATAGGAGTAACACAAAATGTAATTAAGTGGCTTCCGTTTTCTTTCCTTTCTTCCTTTTTTTCATCGAGGAAAAATGTCAGGTCGATAAATATGGGAAGGTGAAATTTTTTATTTACCAGCCGGTAACCTTAGCCATTAGCTAAGAGTTTCAATGATGTCCGCAAAATTAAGCTTAATGACAGTATGACCTAATATGAAAACGAGTTTCCGAAGGCAAATTCCTCATTAAAATTGCGTTCTCCAATCTTTTGATTAAAGAGTTTACTATTTTTCCATAAGTGTAAATGCTGGACACCAACTTGCTTCTTCAGTTTCAGACGTTCCAGCAACGACCTTACTCTTGGTTTTTAAGTTGTTAAAAAATACCCAATAGGGGATTTATAGCACTAATTTCAATCATCAGACGAGAGCTAGACCACACTAGTGCTAAACTGATCAAGCTTCTCTGAAAAAAAAAAAACCTTAAAATAGTTAAGCTTCGGTAAAAAATCGGAGCATTAAAGAATGTACTACGCTGTAATTACCTTCCGGTAGCGCTATCTCGCAACTTGTTTCGCCATCTCCTGTATATCCAGCATTACAGGAACAGCTGTATGATCCGTAGGTGTTGATACAAGACGCAAGGTCGAGAAGACATTCATGGGATCCTTCAGCGCATTCATCGATATCTGATAATGATTAAATACTATTTAAAAGAAGACTTAATGGAAGACTAATCACCTTAATCTTAGATAAGACTCCTCAACCGTTGATTCATATCTGGGCAAACAGGAGCTTTGGTTGGCTAGAATCGAGATTCATATTAGCTGAAAGGGGAACTTATGAATGAATTTCACGTCTGTTTCTCAATAAACGAACAGGAATGTCATCATAGAAGAGAAATCAAATATGCAAGCAACAGGAAGCAGGATCAATAACTAAACATAAAAAAAAAACTTTCTTTTAATGAACGACGAACCAAGCTACCAAATAACTGACAGTGAAGGATTGAAAAAGGAAATCAGGGGCAAGAAAGAGGTAATCATCTCAGCTGACCTGTGCAAGTCAAACCATCTCCACTGTATCCTGTTTTGCAGGAACAGTTGAAACATCCTACGGTGTTTTCACATATTGCATTTGAATCACACGGACTTACAGAAAAACTGCATTCATCTGCATCTAAAATAAATCAGACGGTCATGTCACAAAACATTCAACATTGAGGTGCTTGGAGCATTGATTCCTTAGATATTTCCGGATGTTTTATTTGTCCACCAAAATCACTACGTCGGGCCTTGGGCGTGTCAAAAAAGAAAAGTTCTATTTGTTGCTGTGGTCTTTTTTTCTCTTTTGGTCCCACCTTATGATACCCTAAACATCCTCATCAATAATGTAAATTTAGAAACTGTCCCATGTAAGTATGTAAATTTAATTAATAAGCCACTCTCGAAATGTGGCTTTTCGGGGCCAATACGAAAAAAATAAAAACAAACAGTATTAATCAACAGAGCTTTTAAAATCTCGAGTTGGCCGGTGGCAGACCAATTGGCTATATACAAAGTTCAGCAAATGAGTTAAACGAGGGACCGTTCGAGAACTAAGCCATTGAGTAGCAGGGTGGAGGGCTCGAACCAGAGACCACCAGATTATAGGCCCAACGCCCAAAACATTTATTTTACTTATTTTAAGCTATTTAATGCTTACCAGTGCAGGTTCTTCCGTCTCCAGTGTATCCGCTTTGACATAAACATACAAATGATCCGGCAGTATTTTGACAGGAGGCAAGGGGATCGCAAGGAATAACCGAGGAGTCGCATTCGTTAAAATCTAGAGTACAGATGTAAACGTCATTAAAAGATGACGATTGAGAGTGATGGCAGTGTTTTTGATTTGTTTTGTTTTCTTGTCTTTTTTGTCTCTTCCTTGATGATGGAAGGGAGTTTCATGGTTCTCAAATACTTACCATCTACGTCAAGAAATTAAACTGGTCCTGTTTTGTATAATAGAGACACTTTATAAGAGACAATACCCATCAATACAACAAGGAAATAAAACCACGAATTAGTTATTACTTCCTTTCAGCTTCTCACTTCTTAAAGAGTGCACTGATAAGATTTCCCTGAAAAACCCTTTTTTTCAAAATAAGAGAAGGTCCAGAACCTTTTTCGTAAATATAAATTTGATCTGATTGATTAAGAATCGGAACAAACAAAAATCATTTTCACATTGTATTAAGGCTTCCGATATGTCCACGTTTTACCTAAAGAAGAGCTGACTGGAAATGACCGGGTTCAGGAAAAGACAGTTACCTGATGTCTACTAGTTTCTTACCAGAGCAAGTTTTTCCGTTTCCGAAAAAACCTGATTTACATGAGCAAAGATAACATCCAAAAGTATTCTGACAGCTAGCATTTGGGTCACAAACTGCACTACCAACACTGCACTCGTTGACATCTGAAAAAAAAAAATGCCATAGAGAAGGCAACCGTAATTTCTCACACCAATTGAAATAATTAGATATCTGGAGGTTTTCCACAGTTGCAACGAAAATTGAACATAGTGCAAAATGGAGGTAAAGAAAATTCTAATAACACGCTCAGAGTAGGATGAGCAAATAAGAGCGAAATCTCTTACCGGAGCATGCTTTCCCACTCCCAGTGAAACCAGCCTTACACGAGCAAAAATATGAACCATGGGTATTCTGACAGTTTGCATTGGCATCACATGGTTTCACTGAACCTTCACATTCATCCACATCTAGAAAAATGACACTGATAAGATTAGGGTCTATTCTGTGCACTTAGATGATTTATTTTTCACTCTTTCGTTCTGTGCAATGTGGAATACCATGCCCGGTTGCTTCTTGGTTAAATTACATCTCTAGTAACCAGAGATAACACGGAAGGTATTCTTAGAACTGCTGCGTCCGCACGTAAAGAAATTACTCGTTGATAAAAATGGCCGACCGAAAGAGACTTCAGTAATACTCGAAAAAAAAACTATCAAAAAATAATATTCAAAACAGGAACGCATGCTACATATACCTCTTACATCTGATCTGGGAATTACATAAATTTGCTTAAGTAACCCTGCTTCATTAACGACTAACTGATTCAATTCTTTAACACCATAACAAGAACTGTTAGTATTCAAGCAATTAAAATTTCCTTTCTAATCTCAGTGACTCATGGCTATCCTATGCATGATTGTCGCTGTGGAGTGTTCTTCAATAAATTACGAAGGGAGAAGACTACAGTACAAGAGACCAGAAATAGAGACCAGCTGGCGAACGGAGAGCATGAAAATAAGGTATGAGCCATATCTGTCAAAAGGGTGCTGTGTAGGCAATATGTGAGGGTCCCACATGTTATCTGGTATGTGGTGAACTGGTAAATGTTTAGTAAATGAAAAGAAAACGCTAATAAAACAAAGTAAATAAAAGAGAAAAACCCCGAGAGGAAACATGGGATAATGGCATTTTCTTATCGGAAAAAACAGTCCTCTGTATACTGAGGGAGGGTTAAAATTTCGAAAGAAAATGCGAACTTTATACTTATAAACCCCAACCTGACTGGTAAATTGGCCGTTGGGGGAACTCCCTATATTTACGTAAAAATATTGATTGACAAACCGTTGCAGTATCTCCCTGAGAATCCATCTTCACACGAACAAATAAATGAGCCCACGGTATTCTTACAGCCAGTTGCATTTGCACCGCAAAATGGTTTGGTAGTGCTACACTCGTCGAGGTCTGCCAAGGAGAATAGAGTAAGTAATAGATAAGTAGATAAACAGACGAATAAAAGGCATTCTGGTAAAATTTTTTGAAAATTTTTCTAACACTCTTGAACGGTTGACTTTTCTTTACTCTCCTTTCTTATACAACTTACTACTTTAGGTTCTAGCTCAGCTCACCAGTTTATAAAGGGGACCCCTGCTAAGCTGTCACTCTTCATGCGTCGTCATGGTTTCTATTTTAGCTAGCGAATCAATTTAAGTGGCGTGGAACAGTTCCTGCATACTAAGTATGTACCTAAGATATGTTTACGCTTTACAAAATGACTGTCTACCCAAAATTTCATACTTTTGCGGTTAAGACCGACCAAAACAGAAACAAGATTGACAATATGAAAATACTAAATAAGTCGTTGCGTAGATTGGAGTTGCACTTAAAAAGACAACTAAAGCCAAAGTATCCCCTCTAAAAGAGCTTTGTGTTGCTCACACAAATCAAATGATTATAAATTCATTTCGGAAGATGAAAAGTACAAGGTGTTTACACTTTTAATCACATTTAAAGAAAAAGGTGCTGAAAGTCCTAAATTAAAATTTATGAAGTACTTTCTTGATCACGAGTTCAACATGAAATTGATGGAATAAAACGAATCTGAAAAAACTAACTTTTTCAAGCAGATGATCTGAATTGAAATATATCTTACCGCAAGACAATTAAAATACCTCATGCCAATTTTTAATCACCGTAGAACTGAACATTTCCTTTCATGTCAAACTCCCGATAGGATAATATGCCATAATCACAAACGGCTTAGTACAGACTTTTGTACAGTTAAATGGACTATTTTCTCTCAGAAAGAAGTAACAATTTCCCTACTCACTAAATAAGACCGCCATCGAAGTAGGAAACTATCAACTGCTTACAATACTTTTTAACTGAGTGGGTTATGCTAATATGTTATTTCCATTTTGTTCCCAACACTTAAATAAGTTTAAAAAAACACCTAATGAAAACTCCTGCTAGATGCCTAATTCCTAACATAGAAAATAAAACAATAATACTAAAATATCTAAACATACACGAGACACTATGAAAAGTAAATAGGTGGAAGAGAGAATGGTCCCAATTAGATTGGGAGGTACTGTTAAAATAATGATTAACGTATTTTACTTTGTCTTTTCACCTTCCGTTTCCATGTCACAATGGGCCTGGACAACGTCTCCAGGGATTAAAGAATCAAACCAATATTTGCCGCTGGTCGCATGTTCTCCCTCGCTCGCCTTGATCTCTTGACAAGTTTCAGCTGGAACCTCAAGGATAGAACCAAGTGGAACTAAAAAAAATTTAAGGCATTTTAATTCTTCTGAATGTATTTAACTATTGGCGAATACTGTTGTGAGAGCCTGAAGAACACAGTTCTTCTTCTTATTGCGAAGGTGATAATCAGGATAGTTCCTTTATCTGACAATCTCTTTTTTCCCGTTCAAAAGCCCCCCCCCCCAAAAAAAATTATAATAATAATAATAATAATAATAATAATAATAATAATAATAACTTTACCGCCACAATTTGTCTTTAACGCTTCAGTGCTAATTACTTCGTATGGATAGGCTGAAAAAGCAACCCTGGACAGGACTCTATCCTGAACAATCCAGGGTCCAGTCTTTATTTAAGTCAAGCTTTTCCAGCTGTTTTCGCCTTGGTGATTTCAGTTCGACACACCTAACCATCAACCATCAAAGAGCATGCAATCTGACCTGAACACCTATTAATGAGTTGTTTTTTTTTTAAGTTAGGTCCTTTTTCACTCTATAACAAACAACGGTTTTTCATTAGTTCACATTCGTAAATCACAATCTGATTTATTAATGTAAATAAGTATATTTAATATATACACACGGAATCAGATTGGTTCGCTATTTCATGTTTATGAGCACAGTCCGCTACGTTTACCAACCTAATTTCTTCTTTCTTCTAGAATAATACCGGTGAGGATCAGGAATAAAATCTTCAGGTCTGGCTTATTTGGTTCGGTCATTCAACTCGCAGATATCTTTCAGAATGACATGATTAAAACTTTGATATCTGACATCTTCGTTGCAGGCCTGGATACACTGCAAAGCACTTGAGTTGTTAAGCGTGTTATAAATGTGTCTCCTAAGCATCGTGCTGAATATTGAGGTATCACTTTTACACTGTTGAGCGGTTATCT